AAATGTATATGTATGTATGCTTAAATATGTTTGTATGTAGTATATTATTATATACTAGCTACCCACCCCGGCACGGGTATACATGTATTATACATATAAACCTTCCTCTTGAATCACTCTATCTATTAAAAAAGCCGCTTAAAATCCGTTGCGTAATTTTAAAGATTTAAGCATACATAGGGACAGACAGAGACAGCGACTTTGTTTTGTACTATGTAATGATAAAGCAAACTTCGATGGCCTCGGTGGTCTAGAGGTTTACCACACCGCTTTGCCTCCGATGGTCGCGGGTTCGTTTCTCGCACGGTGCAAGCATTCATGAGTCTGATTGTTTGTATCGGTCTGGCTGTTCTCTATGTATATTATGTATGTACTTACAAAAAAATATCTAAGTATTTATATCAGTGATTTTAGGTGATTTGTCACAATTTTTTGTAAAACACTGTTTTACTACTTCAAACTAAAATATTTTTATTGTAAATATTTTGTTAAATATCATTTTTTATAGTGTCATCAATTACATAACTTGTTTTTAAATATATCGATACGCAATTTTAATATTGTATCGATATATTTAAAAACAATATATAATACAATATTGAAACTTTCAAGAAAAAAGCTTATTCCTTTTTAAAAGGCCACCAACGCACTTGCAATTCCCCTGGTGTTGAGGGTGCTCATTGGACGGTTAGTGGCGGTAATCATTTATCATCAGCAGTCCTGGATTTATGAATAGGTCATATAGGCCGCGCCCTAGGAGCGGCAGCGTCCTAGGGGCGGCAGCGTCCTAGGGGCGGCAGCGTCCTAGGGGCGGCAGCGTCCTAGGGGCGGCAGCGTCCTAGGGGCGGCAGCGTCCTAGGTGCGGCAGCGTCCTAGGGGCGGCAGCGTCCTAGGGGCGGCAGCGTCCTAGGGGCGGCAGCGTCCTAGGGGCGGCAGCGTCCTAGGAGCGGCAGATTTCAGAGGAAGAACGCTCACTCGATTTCAGAGGATGAAGTCAAACACGTTCACTTGTTACTTTATAATATTTGGAGTCTACTATGGTAATACAAAAAACTGGACGTTCATAAGCGACTAAAGTGTCCTATATGGATAACAGATTTTTTATTTTAATTAGTGTTGATTTTATCTGGGTATTTTCTCTGTATATTAGGTATGTATGTACCTATATTTACTAGATGGCGCTGTGTGAATTGTTCAGGGATATAATTATTATACCATCAAGCCGAGTACTTCGAGGGATCTATCAACAACACACAACCGCATCATTTTCGGTCACGTCTCGAGCTGTTGGATATATAAAAACAGGGTTAAAAAAGCAATAAAACTGCTGTACTTTATTAACATAACTTCTATATTTTGTAAATTTGTGCACATAATGTATTAATTATTATACAATTATATAAGATATATTGAAATTATATATTATAATCATAACTAATTTATTTGGTATATTACACTTAATTATATGTTACAACAATATTCATTAATCTACTGGGCTCATAGTTTATTGTTAACAGATTGATAATGTAGAGTGATTTTCAGGTTAATTTTCATAAAAATCGGTTCAGGCGTTTAGTGATCAAAAGATAACAAACATATAGACCGATAGATACTTCATTATCATTATATAGTATAAAACAAAGTCGCTGTCGCTGTCTGTCCCTATGTATGCTTGAATCTTTAAAACTACGCAACGGATTTTGAAGCGGTTTTTTAATTCCTCTTAAATCACTCAATCTATTAAAAAAAACCGCTTAATACGAATACATGTACACCCGTGCGAAGTCGGGGTGAGTAGCTAGTTAGTGTCTATAATATTTGTTTGTTTGTTACAGTGTATAAATTTAGAAAATGTATTTATATGTATAAAAAAAAGTCGGGAGAGTCACGAGGGAGAGAGTTTTAATGATTTATTAATTTGTTATCTACCCCGAATAGCAGAGTATTAAAATATTGGAGAAACGGAAGCAATGTATAAATTCAATTATATAGATTTTTCATATAAATTTAATAATTTTATATGTAATTTGCCTATCTTTATGTGTAATCTTTTGTAAAAAAAACATTATGAATGTATGTAAAATCGTAAAAATAAAATAAATCGTATGAATCTGTGTAAAAAAAATTTTCAGCACTGCAGCATATTTACAGGCGTTCGCTTGAATTCATTCATTTTGATTGTAATGTAATTTTTATGCGAAAGTGTGCTAACTTTTCTTATTCAGAATTGAACCAGAATACTATGAATATACGGTTCAATTTTCATGATTAAATATTTACCGTAGTGTTTTTAAATTTGTTGGGCATTGTGGTATCTAGTGATGGTTTTTTAATTCACAGTTGGCAAGGCAAAGATGTTAGGCCATTCAGCTTAATTGTAGTTTTTTTTGGACTATAGAATTTATTGGCGAAAGACAAAACTGTAATCTTCACAGATCATATAGGTACCTATCATAAATTCTGAACAACATTTATCTATACATATAAATAAAATTAGAGCGTCTGTTTGTAATATTGAAATAACCGTTTTTACTACATGCATATTAATATAAATTCGGTACATACACCAATATCTTTTTTTAACAATTTTTGATTGTCTGTCCGTCTGTTCCGGATGATCTCTGAAATGGCTGGACCGATTTTGACGGGACTTTTCTTGGCAGATAGCTCATCTAATAAGTAGAAACTACTTTTATTTTAGAAAAATAAAGTTAAATTCCACGCGGACGAAGTCGCGGGTACAGCTAGTGATAAATAAATTTGATAACCCTTTATCATTAGATACTTTACTCAGGGTGATTGCATTTTTGGTAGGATGAGAATATTTTCTATTCTTGTACAAAATAGCCATAGAGCTTACAGTTCCTATACGTACATATTATTATATTAAATACAATTTATTAGTATACATTTCATTATAATTAATAATTATTAATAACACTAGTCTTTATATTTTATATTTTACAATAATTTTACACAATTACATACATTAAAGATAATAAAATAAAAAATAAATTAGTTTAATTTAGGAACTGCATTCTGACATTTGTTAGTTCTAAATTTAAATTAATAGTAAATTAAATAAGAATTAATTAAATAATAATACATATTACATGTATAATAATACATAATACATGTATAATAATACATATAAACACAACTCACATACAGCTTTTCAGGCAATAATGGGTGAAATTGTTGAACTCATAACTGTTGTATTCATAGCTACACACGTAAAAGACTTTGTGCCACAGACAACAGCGATGCTCGACTCTTTTAAATATATTTTATTTGTAACATACAATAAAGAAAGCACAAATATTGTTCTGTGCTATACATATGTTATTCAAAAATACTTTTATGATTGTCCACTTTGTATTTTTTTTTCGGACTACTCTAATACTGTTGTCTGCAGCTGGCCTTTACAGATTCAGCGGACGATAGGAGACGAGTGGAGATGGCACTCCAAACCAATGGAAGGACTTATGGAGCGGCTGAAGGCCAACTCTCGCCTGACGTATACGACTTCAGTCTAAGGATAAAAATACAAACATTGTCTGTGTTATAGTTATTCAAAATAATTTTTACGTTTGTCAACATTTTTTTTTCGGACTACTCTAATGATGTTGACCGCAGCTTTACCGGACTATAGGGGGCGAGTGCAGATGGCAGTCCAAACCAAAGGAAGGACTCATAGAGCGGCTGAGGCCATAGAGGCAGACTGGCGGTATTTTTTTGTTTTTGTTCCGCCTCGAAAAAATTAAGGTCGGGATTGTTTGTACCAAATCCAACCAAATATCTATGTAAGTGAGATCATTTACTAGTAACGTTCCAATTTAGGTAGTAAGTACTATTATTTAGTATATTATTCTGAAACATTTGGATATGCAATGAAAAATATTACCTAAATAAATTATTGAAAATTGACAGATACCTACCTAATATATCTATACGTTACGAGGCCGTGAACACAAATTATGTTGCATATTTATATAAAAAAGACTCCTTCATTCACACATAAATATAATTAGATTATTTTAAATTAAATTACATGACAGACAAGGCGCGTCCGCCATTTTGAAATGCGCTACGCAAGACATCAGTGAAACAACTAAAACATGTTCCAATTTTAAAACTCAATTATAATAAAATAAAATACTTTTTATAAAATACTTTCGTAAATTTTATAAATTATTTAAATGTAAATAATAATTATCAATTAAGCTATATTCTATTATCATACACTAATAATACTGTAAAAAGATGCCCGTCATTGCTCATAAGCGATCTACACACGTTACTAAAATTAGTGATAAGTTCGGAAACAGTGTTGAATCGGAGCAACTTGAGTCGTGTGTAGTGAAATCGAGATAGATTTTTACTATTGATTATTGATTCTATATTGTTCCTAATTTTAGTGGAGTGTGTAGGTCGTTTAACTGTTATTTATTACTAAGTACAATTATAAAAAAAAGTCAATCTAAATTCTCTATTTTTTGGCCTGCATCAGTTCTTAAATCTTATACTATTATGGTACATTAATTACAAATAGCATATTTTGATTCTTTTAATACTAAACCTAGATAAAAACCTACCTAACTATAATGTTAACGTTAAAATAGTTTATTTTACATAAATAAAAAAAAAATGTTTTCGTAATAAAACTTTTTTAAATATAAATAACAGACAATATTGCATAAATAAAAAAATACGACTACGTTTATCAATTTAATTAGTTAAATTTGTATCGGTATAAAAATAATAAATAATTTCAGAATATTGATAACTCCCAGCCTTAAAATAAATAAAAAAAACTTGATTTTGACCACAATCAAATCACATTTTTCTAATTAACTTATTTTTTAAATTAACATTGTACCGTACTCCAGAATTTATGGATAAGATTATAAATAATAGCTTCTATATTAAATATTTACAATTAGTTAATACTATATTAGAAATATTATGTATCATTTACAAATAAAAAATAACTATTACTTTCATACTACATATGGCCTAAACATGTCATTGGGACGGCCGCCATCTTGGCTCATGACGACCAACCCGCGTCTATTGTTTTCCAAATTCGAATTAAAATTCGCCGCGGCTATTGCTCTTTCTCGTTCTAAGGCGATAATTCTGTCCCTGTCCAGGATGGGCGGTTTGACGGCTGTCAAATCGGCCGCGATTTGTTGTGGTTTTTCGGGTTCGGGAGGCAAAGGAATTTCTTTTGGTTTACTTTTCTCATCGCTTTGGTGCGACGCGTGCGAGTCCTTGTTTTTGGAGTCTTGTTGTGCTTTTTTCGAGCGTTTCCACTTCATTCTTCGGTTTTGGAACCATATTTTTACCTGTATAAGAAATATATTGTTGTTAGATATATTTTCTCAATGCATTGTATGTAAAAGAAACTTATACTGTACATCTATATCATATACCTACATATTTAAAGTAGGTATCTTTGAAAATTATATTTCTTTACTTCCACGCGGTACCTACTTGAAAACTATCGTGACCAACCAACTTCTTTCTCAATCTTGCATCCTTCATTGATAACTGGCCATTAACCATCATATACGTTAAAAAAATGTTATCTACTAATGTAATAGCGGCATACTAAAATTAAACGTAATGATTATTTGCTTAGTGCTCTATATCAAATTATGTAATCTGTACCAAATTGTCATATCTGTGCCTAAATAAAAGAAAAAATAACAAACATCTGCTATTTCAGAAACCAAAGCGACCTAAAACCATTCCCGAAATTACTGAGGGTCGGCAGAGATTAATATTTAAACCCACACAAGTAATAACGTTTATGGCACTCCTCCGGCCCTCCCCTATAATCTTGTCTATGACTCTAAGCTCAAATCCGCCATCATTCAACTTGACAAGTGTTTGGCGCGCTTTTGTGAATGTCACCGTTGTTTTGGGGCTCAGGAAAGTAAAAAGGTGCGGTTATGTGAACATTGTTTTTGTGATTTTCGCTAAAAGGGGTCGCAATTTCAATGGCGGTGTGAAGATTAAGATGTTTTGTTTAAATAAAATTAAGTTTTCAGCCATTTTCTTTTATTTTTATATAAGTTAATAATATATTTAATCTTATAATAGTCTCCTATTATTATAATAGTTATTACGCATATCAAGATTAATTAAATGAAAATAACAGAACCCAAAACAATGTTGTAATATTTGTCTGTGTAATTGTGCGTACTAATCTCAGAAACGACTTTACTGATTTGGGTACGGTTTTCAATTGAAATTTTGTGTTTGTTTTTTACCGTAAGTAATATAAAAAATTATATTACAGGATAAGAGACATCTCGAATGGCAACGTATACCTAAGTATCACGGATGTCACATGATGACGTGATGTCCGTTGTTTTTTTTATACTAAGATAGTGGCAATGGCATGTATATAGGGGACGGTATTCTTCTACCAACCAAATTGTGTGTCCAAATACCTACATAAAAATTAGAAATAGAAATAATCTTTATTTAAATAATCTCAGTATAAGCAGTTTTGAATAGTCATAATAATATCTCAGGACAATTCACACAGCGCCATCTAGACTCAAGTTAAGATAGCTAAAGCTTATGTTATGGGTACCTACTGATACAAATACATAGATATTTTTTTTAATACATATACATAGAAAACACCCAGACCGATACAAACAATCATACTCATGAAAACAAATGTTTGTGCCGTGCGAGGAATCGAACCCGCGACCATCGGAAGAAAAGCTGTGTGTTTGACCGCTAGACCACCGAACTATCTAAATAAATGTTCAGCATTAGGTACATATTTAACATTTTGTGAAAACAAACTGCTAAAGATCTAAAAAAGTATATGACAACCAACAAAACACGAACCTGTGTCTCCGTCAGCATCAGGCTGGTGGCCACCTCGAACCTCTTCGGTCTGGACAGATACTTGTTCATCCGGAACTGTTTCTCCAACTCCAGCAGTTGCTGTGAAGTGAATGCAGTCCGAGGGCGCCGAGTCTTGCCAAGGAGGGCGTGAGGGGCACCTGTGCAAAATGAGTAATTCTTAGAGATCAGATTTGCACTCTTTGTAACAATACTCCTCCGAAACGATGTACAGGCCCCTCTTCCCCACTGGGCACGTGCCCGGGGCCCCGTGATGGATTGGGGCCCTCTAGTCTAGTCTACTCCCTACTCCATTAGGGGGATTATTAGTAATGTGGATTGATAAACCCATTGCTAGCAATGTACCATGTCAGGTCGACCTCCACGCAGTTCCCCCTGGAAACCATCGTGTTAAATTCCTGGTGAATTTGTCACGATGTGCTAACTGACCTGACCTCATGCTCATCTTATCATCCTCCACTGGTGCCCCGCCAGCGTAAACCGTTAGCGCAGGCGGGTGCACCATTACATTATCATCCACAAACTCCCTACTCCATTACTATTACTAAACGATAACCGATAGCTAATCTACTCTCGTCTGAAAATCAGTCTTAACAAATGCTTACAGACTATGATCAATTTGTTCGTTTTGTAATTTTTTTTATTTATATATTTGAGCGACCAACAAGATATACACTATGAGGTTACAATTAATATCACTTGCAAAAAGTTCAGGTATATAGTGTTGACTTCATTACTGGTGGCCACGGCATGCGTAGATGTTTACAGAGATTTATATATGTATACATATATATCTTTTTATTTTATTTTGGTTTATATATAATATATATATAAAATTCTCGTGTCACAGTTTTCGTTCCCATACTCCTCCGAAACGGCTTGACCGATTCTCATGAAATTTTATGAGCGTATTGAGTAGGTCTGAGAATCGACTAACATCTATTTTTCATCCCCTTAATGTTAGGGGTAGTCCACCACTAAATTTTTTTTTTATTTTTTAGACAAAATTTTTAGTTTCTATTTTTTTATGATACAATATACAAAAATACATACAATCCTAAAGTTTCACCCTTCTATCATCAATCCCTATTTTTTTATAGCGTTATTAATTTATATGGCAAAACAACGTTTGCCGGGACAGCTAGTATATATATATATATCTATTTTATTTTTTTATATATAAATTTTTTTTTCGTCTTCTTAAAAAGATTAGACTTCAAGTATTCCCTTTCAAAATATTATATAATGTGCTATTAAATATATTCACTATCTTTACAATGAGAAAGAAAGGTTATGGAGTGGAGGCATGGGTCGACGGAGTGTGGGGCGCCCTCCTGCAAGATGGACCGACGACACTACGAAGGTGGCCGGCAGTGGATGGATGCAGAAGGCGGAAGAGCGCACATGGTGGAAGTCTTTGGGAAAGGCCTATGTCCAACAGTGGATAGACACAGGCTGATGATGATGATGATGATGTTGATGATCTTTACAATTTAAAAAAAAAATTGACTTCACGCGAAGCTTGGTCTTATGGATGGTAATAGAATGGTTAACCCGCCTGCGCTAACGGTTTACGCTGGCGGGGCACCAGTGGAGGATGATAAGATGAACATGAGGTCAGGTCAGTTAGCACATCGTGGTAAATTCACCAAGAATTTATCACGACTTCCAAAGCTAACCTCGTGGATAAACTGATATGGTAGAATGCTAGCAATAGGGTTTTTAGTCCACATTCAAATTCAAATATAAATTAAAAAATAATTTATCCATGCAGGCCATTTTAGCCGCTTATGAACGTCAAACTTCCCTACCGTCCATTACTAATAATCCTGCCAGCGAAGCCTAGTCGCCCAGGTATTCCCACTTAGAAAAACAACTATACCAAATGAGCAATTGTAAATCCTAGCATATCTATAGTCCCAGTACAAAACACCATGCAATCTGATTATCATACAATCTAATCAAGGAACAACGTTAGTTCATCCCATAAAAGCGCCGCATTCAACTCTCATAGGGTTGCCACGAATCACAAATAATAATAAATAACAAAATATAAAGAATTACAAACTAAAATAACCCGACTCTGGCACTTACAAAAAGTAACAATACTCCCAATCGACCTCTCAACTACAGGTGTCATACCGAAACAGATGCACCAGTCAATAAATACCCTGAACTTGCCCCTTAATATATACCGCCAACTACAGAAGGCTGTAGTTCTAAACACATGCCGCATGGTTAGAAAATTTCTACAAACAGATTAGGCCAACATTTATATTATAGTACAGATAATATAATATTTCATATATAGTATATTCACCTAAAATTAGAACATTGTTGTGTACTTGGCTTAGGCCCGTACATACCAAGATTACCGGCGAAAGTCGAGAGAAAAAATAATAATAATTTTGTCTTCCGTTTAAAAAAATCTTCATCATTATCATCATCATCACATTTGTTATTGTTTGGTGATTTTCACCCGCAATGACAAGGATATCACCCCATTTACGGGAGATAATAATAGAAATAGAAATAGAAATAATCTTTATTCAAATAAACTTAATATAAGCACTGTTGAATAGTCAAGTTTTTTTTTATTCTACCGCTTATTCGGAATGCAGATTCATCACAAGAAGAATAAGCAAGAAACCTGTGTGTTGCTCTTTTAAATAAATATGGATTTACTTATATTTAATTAACAACAAGGATTAGGCATGCGACAATCAACATAGAAACCGCTACGCACTTAATCTCTGTTCAATCAGATAATATTGTCAGCGCTATGAATTTTAAGTTAGATATTTTCTACAAAAACATTATTATTATTTATAAATTCTTCAATTTTATAACAAGTTTTTTTACAAAGAAAATATTTTATGACACATTTGAATTTTTTTTCTGGCAAATTGACTACAGACTCTGGGAGTTTGTTGTAAAACCTTACGCAATTTTGCATAAAAAATGATAATAATAACAATAAACTCTTTATCGTGCTCATAGAATGCAATAAGAAAAACAGTAAATAAAAAATCAATAACAAAAGCCAGCTATAAGAAATATAATATAAATCTAAATATATATAACTCAAAGGTGACTGACGTAGTGATCTATCAACGCACAGCCCAAACCACTGGACGGATCGGGCTGAAATTTGGCATGCAGGTAGATGTTATGATGTAGGCATCCTCTAAGAAATAATTTTGTTTATTCAAACCACTGGACGGATCGGGCTGAAATTTGGCATGCAGGTAGATGTTATGATGTAGGCATCCTCTAAGAAATAATTTTGTTTATTCAAACCACTGGACGGATCGGGCTGAAATTTGGCATGCAGGTAGATGTTATGATGTAGGCATCCTCTAAGAAATAATTTTGTTTATTCAAACCACTGGACGTATCGGGCTGAAATTTGGCATGCAGATAGATGTTATGACGTAGGCATCCGCTAAGAAAGGCTTTTGATTATTCAAACCACTGGACGGATCGGGCTGAAATTTGGCATGCAGGTAGATGTTATGACGTAGGCATCCGCTAAGAAATAATTTTGATTAATTCTACCTCCAAAGGGATAAAATAGGGGATGAAAGTTTATATGAAACTTTGTCAATTTTAAACCGATCGTGCTGAGACTTTGCATGCAGAAAGCTACTTTGACGTAGGCATCCCCTAAGAAAGGATTTTGATTAATTCCACCCCTAAGGGGATAAATTAACGCGGGCAAAAGCTAGTGTCATAGAAGTGTCATGCAGAAGAAGTTGAACAGGTCAGCTAACTGTTAATATATATATAATTATATATTGTTAATACAATATATAATTATTACTAACAATATGTTTATAATATTAAGCAGGGGATTATAAGTAATGGGTAAAAATGGCTCAATTCACAATAAAGCTGGTACTCTATTTTATTATTATTCATAAAAAAAAAATAGATTCAAATTCAAAATATCTTTATTCATGTAGGTCTATTACAGACTCTTATGATATGTCAAATCTACCGTCAGTTCGGAATGATTTCGAGATGAGAACTGATAAAAAACTCAGCTCGTGTTCTCTTCAAATAAATGTTATACTTGTTTACAATAATACAGATTAATTTATATTTTTCAATTTAAGTAATGTATTAAAAAGAGACAGCATATAGTTTCGTCCTTGTCACAATTAACTGTGGTTAAATGGCGCGCCATTTGCGGAGGGTTGGCAGCCCTGGCTGAGCCAATAAAAATGATAATTATCAATTAGAGTAACAACACTCGGCGAACGCGACATTTGGTACTGTTTGCACAACGATAAACGCCGCGCTAAATCCGTGACGCATCTGTCACGGGTTCGAATCCTGGGGACGGTTTGCGATATCATTAGTTAATTTTTAGGGTGTGTATGCATTTAATTTGTATAATTCGATTTTAAATGTTCATTTGTTTATTCACTATTCATTTAGATTGCTATCGCGATGGTTTTGAAAATAGTGTATAAAATTAACTTATAACTCAATTGAAATACTATATTTACTTAAAATACTTATATTATATGTTCATAGGTTAAATATTAGTATTAAATTATTTTATGCAATAATTGAAAATAGTCTATAAATGTAAATTATAACTCAATTTAAATATAAGTAAAATAAATTTATATTATAAGTATTTGAAGTAAATAAATTACTTCAAATACTTATAATATAAATTTATAAGTTTAATACTAGTAATATTTATTCAAATATTATTATTATATATTTTTCTATTTGAGTATTTAATTGAATTAGTGCTAATTGGTGGTTTGTATTCACACACTTAAACTTAAAAATGTAAAGTAATAATAAAATTATTTAAAAGAGCAACACGCAAGTTTCTTGCTCGTTCTTCTTGTGATGAGACAGCTTTCCGAACGAGCGGTAGATTAAAAAATGTAATGACTATTCAAAAGTGCTTCAATGTAAGTTTATTTGAATAAATGATTTTCTATTCTATTCTATTCTAATAAAATCATACAAGCAATTTTGAACAGTCATATTTTTTTATTCTACCACTCATTCGGAATAGACTCATTACAAGTAGAATGTGCAAGAATGTCTATCACACATTCTTGTGCATTCTCCTTGTGATGAGTCTTAATAATAATAATATGTTTATTTGTCA